CGCGTGATCGTGCATATTACGTGTTGAACATGGAGGGGGGGGGGGGGCACATAGATCACGCACGCATACGCGATGGTGGGCGCATCGCGCGTACGGGATGATGAACGTTTGCGAGAATAAGGCGACACCGACGCGCATCGACGTGAATCGGGGCGCGAAGAAGAAAAGCGCGAACGGGAGTATCGAACGTGCAAGGACCGGTTGCACTCACCCGGCTCTCGTCAGCAGGGACGCGCTGAGACCGAGGTGCGTCTGCTGCGCGGGTGGGGCCTCGACGGCCTCCTCGGCGCCAGGCTGGTCGGCGCACGCGTGGTCGCTGGGGCGCACAGGCATCGGCGGCGGGCCGTTCGCGTTTGTCGGGGCCATGAAGGGCGAGAGCGACTCGGAGAAGCGTCTGAGCCAGGTGCGGGGCGTCGGGCTGCCGCTTCGGGTGCTGGCGCTGCTGCTCGACCGGGCGGCGTCCGCGTTGGCGATGGCGCTCCGCAGGTTCTGCGCGGCCGCGGATCCGTACGAGCTCTTCGGGTTCGGGTCGACGGAGGTGGTGCCGCCAGCGATGGGTGGAGGCGGAGAGTGCGCTGCCATGTTGCCCAAGGGGCGTTTAGTATGTTCAGCAAAAACTTTTCCGGGGAATGGAATCCGAGCTGCAAACGCCGGGCGAGATCAGGGGGAGCTGCAGAGAGCACGCTATCGGCCGCACCCCGGAGTTTGCCGGCCCGAGCTGGTGGCGGTGCTCGCCCCCCGCCCAGTCTCGGCTCTGCCGCTTTATGTAGGCGCCTTTTTTTGCCTCCCGTGTAGCGAACTCGGAACTGCCTTTGCTATGCTCACTGCCGCCTCGAGCTCTTGGGCGACTTGAAGAATAAGTTGATTCGCGCAAGCTGGAATCGAATATCCCCGAACGAGAGCTTATCATGACATCACTCCGACCGTGACGATGCGCTCTGTGTCGACGTCACCGCGATCACTTCTCAGTCGCCTTGCACGAACAACCCAAGCAGCTCACGCTGAAATGGACGGCCTTTGAATCGATTGGCCGCAGCAAGGTACGTGGTCAGCTCACGCGACCGCCCTCAGCTTCGCTCATTGCTGCCTAGGAAGACCGATGTACATAAGACACATTTTCCAGTCTCGCACCGCTGTTCCTTCCTTGTCGAGATCAGGAGCAGGATAAGGAGAGGGTCAGGCCCCGGCCTACCCCCATCACGGATAGGATCACGGCCGAATGTCCCAGTTGTCTGTAAATGCTCTCGAAACCCGACTGCGCGGACATGACATCGTGGACGGTGGATAACCGAGCGCGCGCCGCTCGCAGCAGGATGGTTCGCCGACGACTTGTTCACGTCCCCGCCACGACCAGCACAAACGCCCTCCGATATGCCGCTTGACACCCAGTGGAAAGTGCGCCGATTGGGAGCGAATGCTGCGCAACATCCGCGAACATGTCAGCTGATTGTCCGTCGCTCGCTGTGCTGCGAGTGATTCGAAATCCGCCGATTGCCAGCAAACCAGGATGAATCAGTCCAAATGAACCCCACCGCCTAGTGAATGTCGGCCAACCACAGACAATCGGGCAGCACTCGGTTGTCGGGCATATTGCGAATCATGGCAAATCACAGTAAATTACACACAACATACGTTCCATGGTACACTACAGTACTCGAATCACCACTCCTGTGTCCCCGCCTATCGCGAATCTTCGGTTTGAAGTTGGTCTGCCGTGCGCGCAAGGGGCCACCGGAACTCAAATCGGTGACACCTCACCCCTTTGCGTTAACCACCGTCAAGTGTTCGGGGTCCGCGATTTTTAAGTTTGGGTCATCATTCCGCTGGGTTGCCGAGATCTTGTGGTATTCTGTAACAAACAATCTCCTGAGTACATAGATATGTTCTAATTGATGAGAGTAATTATTGTATGTGGTCAGAATTCGAATTGATACGGCGCTGCACGAGCAGCGAATATTCTCGTCTGGCACGATTCGGTCAGGTGATCTCAATTATTCGTCGCGTCGCGTCGCGTCGCGCCGTCGGCTGCTCTCGTCTCCTGCCCCTCGAGCTTGAGGCAGCTCGGTTTCTCGCGCATATAGGGACTCCTACGCATCACATATATGCAAGTGATCCTCATATTGCATGGTATCCAAAGATCTCACCGCTACAACCGTTGGACAGTCATCGAGAGTCAACTGCCGCTACAATATGTCACAGCATACAGACGAAACTCTCGGAAATAGTCCGTGTTGCTCTCAGGCTAGCATTAACTCTACTGGTTCTGTTTCTCCTACACATCATTGGGCCTGCCGACTTCGCAATCTCGCTGAGGATGCTGGGACTGTTTGGGAACCATCTACAACAGGTCTAGACTCCAGTCCTGTGCGAACCTTGGCTTCGTACTCGCGCACATGGGAAGATTCATACGAAGAGATATGTGACGAAGCTGCTGATAGATCTCATGTGGAAGACGAAAGCAACGAAGACCGTACGCCAGAGCCTGAGGAGGATCTTGGATCACGAGACAGCAGTGTCGTATGCGGACTATGTGGTGCTACAGTCAACCAAACTGGCAATAGTCAATACTGGATCATGCGGCATCGCGGGAGCAAGCCGTGTGTACGTCGTCAGTCCGCAAACATCGCACGAGCCGAAATGGAGAATGCTCGCATTACTCGCAGCTCGATTTTCTCAGCTTCCGTGTCATCTTCGCTGCGCAATACTTCTAGCCATGCATGCACGGATTCGATTCCATCACATGAGGACGTTCATGATACCTTGCCGCCAGCTTCTAACTCTTTACTGAGCCGCTCATCTTCTCCTGCCTCACGCTTGGCCGCCGACGAACTTCTGACTGTTTCGTGCCCCGGTGTACCACTTGAATGGAGGCCTGGACAAATCTTCAAGTCGTTCCCATGGCAGATTCTCGATGACCCTGGGATCAACCTACCTTTTCATCTCGATCACTTTGAAAAGGGAGGAGCCGAGCTTTGGGTACGAGCGAAGAAATGTACAGGTGTCCCGCGCAGCTACGGCAGCGAATGCTACGAATGCGATATGATACGTACATGCCGTGAGAAGACCCTACTTGAGATGCGAGCACATTCTGCGCCTGTAAATACCTCATGGGACCTCCTCAGCTGGTCACAGCTTCGCGAGCGAGCGGAGTATCACAAGGACGTCGCTAACAATCATCGACTCAAGGTCGGCCAATTGTTCTGATATTAGATGCCTGCTAATACAGTTCAACAGGTGCTGAACGCCACGAGGAAGTCTGCCAGAAAGGCACGGAAGCTCTCGTCGCATGACAAGATTCTACGGTGCATCGCAACAAATGACATCCTCAAGATCAAACATATCACCCGTCTTGCGCTCAAGCAACGCAGGAGCCCGGAGCTGCTCCTTAGACGTTTCACAGAGGCTGCCAAAAGGATCTATCATGTCCGAGGAAGTGACGCCCGTGATATTGATTTGGCGCTGCTTCTGCGACGCTGTGGTGGTCCAAAGACGCTGTACGCCTGCACGAAAGGGATGGGATTGCCTTCAGATTCCACGCTCCGCCGTCTGGGTGTAGCTCCAACACTCCTTGTGACTCCTGGAGCTCCTCGGCGACACAGTGAGATAGCGCAGAACATCCGCACCTTTCTCGGTGCGAACTCCGAGAATTCACGGCTACCGATCTGCGGAAATACCCTGGCTATAGACGATCTCCACTTGCGAGGCTCTGTTCGACATTGCAAGCACTCAGGATGCATGATCGGGCTATGCCATGAGCATTGCGGATCCCTCGATCTTGCTCTGAGCTCTCTTACAGCTGTGCAGGCCGCCGTTGAAGCTGTTCACGGTGACAATGCCTACATACATTACGCAAAGCAGGCTACTGTCGGTGTACATGCTCCATTTCGTGGCGCAAACTTCCATCCTCTTCCGACGTTTGTTATTGCATCAGGAAATGCCCCCTCTGGCAAATTTCTACATATGAGAATACATAGTTCATAATTCGACTATATTCTATTAAAATTTCACAAAAAGGCCAAAAAATCACACAAAACTGTAAAATCATGCCAGATGACTGACCATTTAGAGAGTACTGTCTTGTAGGTACAAGGGGGCTTGAAACCATCAACATAGAAGGTTGTTGCAATGTCAATCATATTAGCACTGGTCCATGTACAAGGAGCTTAGAGACCATATCTAGGTGTAAGTATTGGAGTTGGGGTTTGGTACTTTACTGCTGACACCTCATCCTTGCATGGCTCCCTCTGTGATATCAGTTCATCCCATCTACCCCTAGCTTCTATACACATTCCCTGCATGTACATCTGAAAAGCCAGATATCTCTGTAGCCAACAACATATTTATGTACCCTGTAGATCACTGAAGTGATGGCTAGGAAACACTGCTATAATAGTTTAGTCTCAGGTGGTTGATTTCTCTATTGTCCTATTCATTTACCATTGACAGCCTCATGAACTGAAATGTATCTCTATGTACTTTGGGATTGCTATGACATAGAGATACAGTAGCCAACACGGACTTAGGAGATTCAACGCGAATGAGTCCGTCACGTGACCTGACCGTGACCATCCTGCCCGGCTTGTCATCTCAGCCAGTTCTCAGCCCACCGCGCTGGCAAGAGTGCGCCTAGCGCCGCGCTTGCAAGTGCGCACGTCGTGCAAGTCCCCGCCGTCGCATCCCGCCTCGACACTTGCAGTGCTCGCTCCGCCGTCCTCAGCTTCCACCCGCTGCCCCTGTCCGAGGGAGAGCCGCCAACGCGGTCTCGCTCGGTGCAGCTCCCACCTCTGCCGTCTGCCCATCCCCGAGTGCGAGCCGCCAATGTGGTCGCGCTCGGCGTAGCGTTCTCCCCCGCGCCCGCCGTCGCACCCCGCCCCGAGCTCTCGGAGTGCCCGTCCCGCCGCCCCCAGCTTCGCCCCTGCTGTTTGCCTGGCCCCGAGCGCGAGCCGCCAATGCGGTCTCGCTCGGAGCCGCTTCCTCCACCCTGCCGTCTGCCCATCCCCGAGTGCGAGCCGCCAATGCGGTCGCGCTCGGCGTAGCGTTCTCCCCCGCGCCCGCCGTCGCATCCCGCCCGAGCACTCGACGTGCCCGTCCTGCCGCCCCCAGCTTCTGCCCCGCCGCCCCCGCCGTTTGCCCAATCCCGAGCACGAGCCGCCATTGCGGTCGCGGTCGCGCTGTTTCCACCCCCCGTCTGCCTTTTGCCCATTGCCGAGCGGTTGCCGCCAACGCGGTTTCGCTCGACGCAGCTTCCACCCTCGCCCCTGCCGTCACATCCCGCCCCGAGCACTTACCCCGCCGCCTCATGCTTTCTCCCCCCGTGCCCGCTATTCGCCCAGCACCAAACGCGAGCCGCCAACGCGGTCGCGCTCAGCATCGCCTCCCCCGTCACGCCCCCTTTCGCCCAACACCGAGTGCGAGCTGCCAACACGACCTCGCTCAGCGCAGCTTCCACTCCCGCCCCTGTCGCCTGCCTCATCCCCGGCGGCTCGCACTCGGCGCCGTTACTACCCCTGCGCCGGTCATTTGCCCAG